ATTGAAGTATGCGGTGGAAGCGAAGAAGGGTTTTGAGAGGGTAGATAGGTAAAATATTTCCTGTTCTAGTTAGTTCCAGGGGGGTAAGGGTGGACAGGCTTGTCCCACCCGTGTTCTAGCTAGTTCTAGTGAGTCCCACATAAGGCCACACCAAACATAGGACAATTGTGTTCTGTCCTGTCCTGTCCCACCATGTCCAACATACCAAACGCACCCTCAAGAAACTAACAATTAAGCCATCCAACTATCAACGAATATAACTGACTGATTTTTGTCCCAAACCGTTAAAAACTTAACGGTTTGATATCTCATGGTGCTACGTAACGTAGATATTTTAATTTTCACGAGATGGTTTGTTAATGCCGATTTCAACTGAGTTAAGAATTTTACCGGGTAAATTGTTGCATACGATGCCGTTTTGATGTATTAAAATTTTACCCGGTAAATACCTGATAGTGTTAAATTTTACCGATAAGCACTTACCAAGTAAGTGTTGGTAAACGGCGCCTAAATTTTTATGAAAAAACCCATAAAAGTATTTTACCATATACTATAAAAAAATGTTATGGTTCTGACAAATTACAATCATGTTTGCCAAAATAACGTTATTGTATATTTAATGAATTGTATATACATGCTATTTTAGACTGGCTTAGAAAACTATAACGAATTGGTAGTTTTGATTTGAACGTTATGACAAATCATAACGTTATTTACAAACTTTTGGCGATAAATTAACTTGACGGGGAATTGGGTGTGCTATGAGTAGAGATGCACAAGGCTCGAGCTTTTTTCCTCCCAAACCCGTTTTCAGTGAGTAGAAAAAAAAGCCCAGGTTTTTTTGGTCCGAATTGGACTTTGGGGTTGAAAAAGGCCCCACAGAGTTTTTTCAAGCTGGCTCTTTAGGGCTTTTCGGATTTAATCAGACTTTTTAGGTTGAGATTTTCTGGATCGGGCTTAATTCTGAGTATGTCCTCAAAATTTTACTTGATAGAGTCTTAGGCCTATCTCGGACCAAGTTTTGGACTCACGAGTCTTAGGCCTAGCTTGGACCAAGTTTTGGACTCACGAGTCTTAGGCCTAGCTCGGACCAAGTATGTCGCTAAAATGCATGAATTTTTATGATAGATGAGACCTACTTTTGACAAAATCATAAATTCACCGGATTGGCTATGTGCTTTATCGAAATTAACGGTCATCTTCTAAAATACATAAAAGAGTGATTATTTTATTAATTGTAATCCGTTTTGCAAGTTCGTTATTACGGGTAGTTCCTACAAAGGATCAGACTAATAACGTATATGTATTCTGGTCATTTAGGTGATTTTCCGTTTTGGAAACCTTTCACTATGAACCTGTTAAATTTTGGAAAACTACATATACATCTCAGTAGTGATAAACTGTTCACAACAGGTTTAACTCAACTTAGAAATGTCTATTCACATATGGTTTCTACTCCTAAGAGCAGTTTTGAATTTCGTGTGAGATCTATTGGAATTGTCGGTAATCAACGTTTTTACTCAAGTAGTGAATACTATATATTAAATCAACAATTATTACGTAATAATTTCCATTTTGATTACTTACTTTAGAAATATTGATCATCAAGCGAGAAATTAATTAGCTACTATAATCAAGATTTTGAGCTAGGGATGGCAAAAAAAACCGCACCCTATGGGAACCTGATAGCCGACCCCAATTTGATCGGGGATTCCCCGAGTTGACTAGGGACGGGATGGGAAATTCCCGAGTTTATAAAACTGGGGATGGGGATACCCTTCATCTTCGACCCCGAACCCGGCCACAAGTATTAATTATACATTTCTATGCATATGTGTGTGTGTGTATGTATAGGGTTACACCGGTGAGAATGCGAGTTAAAGTGAAAAACATAATAAGAGATTTTCACTCTTTAATACACATTAGGATGAGATGCACAGAATCAATGCAATTCATGGGTGAGTTTGAGATTAAAGGTGATCAAGGGTTCAGATCCATTCTTACGCTTCTCACCTTAACTCTCCTTCTCACATGAACTTCAGATCCTTTTTTACGATTCCCACCTTAACTCTCATTCTTACATGAGTTCATGTGAGAAGAGAGTTAAGGTGAAAAGTATAAGAAGAAATCTGGACCTTGATCACCTTTAATCTCAAACTCAGCCATGAATCACGTTTGATATAGGGATTGATCCGGTGCATCTTATCCTAATGTGCAACAAAGGGTGGAAATCCCTTCTTACGCTTCTCACCGAAACCCAACTATATATATATATATATATATATATATTGTGTGTATATAAAGTATAATATATATATATACACACACACACAAAGTATAATAATATACCGAGGAACTCAATGACTACATTATAATATATAAATATAATCAATCTTTCATGATAAAAACTTGTAAAAAAGTTACAGGAAAGATCCTGGATTCTCGATGAGGATCCCCGTTCCCTGACCGGGATAGGGATTGAAAAGTGGGGATAGGGATGAAGATTGCGATCCCTGGTACCTCCGACCCCGCTATCATCTCTATCTGAGCCGATTCTATGAACGCATCTTGAAGAACGAAGAAGATGGCCCTAAACCACTTTCACTTCCATTTGTTCATTGCTTGTTACCAACGTTCACTTACCAACATAGACAGGTAAACGCTAATCGGATAAGACTAAGGTATCTAGTAAGAGGTTCGGTTTGGGCAGGTCAAGCATTTAACAGTAAGGGACTTTTTACTAAACGCTTACTTGGTAAGTACTAAAATGGATAAATTTTCTCATCGGATAAACATGACAAGGGCCAAGAATCTTACCGGATAAGAACGATGAGATGATGGAGAGTTTTACCTGGTAAGTGAAGATGACGACTCTTACCCTGGTAAACGCTTACCTTGTAAATTGTTGCATTCAATACGTCTTGATGTACTAAAATCTTACATATCAAAATAAATTATAGTGTTGTCGGTAAGCATTTACCGGGTAAGCATTTGGCAAAAAAACCCTAAATGCTCCTAGATAAACAATTTGATAAGTATTGTCTGACTTAGTTGTGACTCGTGACCCTATTGGTGGGTGACTCACCCCGCCGTAAGTCAGAAGAAGTGTAGGTAAACAACTTATCTCTTACCGTAGTTTACCCACACTTCGTACCTCACAAGAGACGATATCTTTTTCTGGTGCTTGTCCTGCGCTCGCATAGCAGGTTGGATATCCAGGTTAATAAAAAAAAAAATCCGATAAATTTTCTAGCATGCTTTGTTTAATTCATATGTATGATATAACCTTTATCCAATTACTCGCAAATTTCTATCTCATTTTCCCTCTTTTTTGTATCTTGGTGTATCTTTTTACATTTCCTCTGGATCTTCTGATATGATCTTTTTCCAAAACCAGTGCCTTTGCCACATCAGCATCATCTCTTCTATTGGAACTCCGTTCGTTTCCGGTAGGAAAACGTACACGAAAACCGTCATTACAGTGATCCAACCGGCAAAGAACAGGAATAGTCCGAACTTCAAGCCACAAAGGAGGGAGAGGAAAGACTGTGCTATGATGAAAGTGAACAAGAGGTTGACGGCAACCGTAATGCTTTGCCCTGCTGATCGCGTTTCTAATGGGAAAATCTCGCTCGGCACCGTCCAACCGAGTGGGCCCCACGACCACCCGAATGCTGCCACGAAAAGACAGACGACGACCACGACCAAGATTGAATAACCCTTTGAGAGTTCTTGATCATTGCCAAATTTAAGCCCCAATATTATTCCCACAATCACCTGTTTCAAAGCACAAGATAGCAGTTAAAGTGAAGTCCCACAGTAGACCTTGGCTTTGATACCATGTTAGGATATATGAAACTCCTTTAAATATCCCTCTAAAAAACCCCTTTATCAAAAGAAAAAGGGAAGGTTACTACATATATACAGGTTTGACGGTCCAGGTATAGCTGATGTGAGACTCGAACACGCCCTCAAACAGAGGCTAGACGGATACATATGTCCCAATGTTCCTTTATATATACATACAAGTTTGATGGTCTGTATCTAGCTGATGTGGGACTCCAACACACCTAGAGGATAGACAATGCCCCCAAGAACATTGGTGAGGAGCATGTCTGAGTCCCTACCACCTACAATTCACAAAACATGCTCATGAAACAAGAAAAAATCTGAACCTTTTTCAACTTACCTGACAAATGATCATTTGAATTCCTCCACCAATCAGCAAAACTCTTCGACCCAATCGATCAACCGTTGCTATCGATACCAGAGTCGAAAGAGCAAGAACCGCCCCAGTTAACGCAGACGAGTACAGAGACGCGTTCCCCTTAAATCCCATACTTTGAAACAGTACAGGGGCATAAAAAAGGATAGAATTGATCCCAGTAAGGATTTGGAACATTGGCATGAAAATTGCCATCACCAACTGTGGCCTATTCCTCTTCTCCAAAATATTCCTGAAAGGATGCTTGATTGAGTTAGCCAACTCACTTGCATCAATCATGTCTTCAAACTCAGCATCAACATTTTGGGTACCTCGGATTCGTTCTAGAACTTTCCGCCCTTTTTCCTTCGAACCCTGTTCGATTAAGCTGTTTGGTGTTTCTGGAAGAAGTATGCCACCAACTGTCATCAAGATTGCTGGTGCAGCAGCTAGGCCAAGAGAGAGCCTCCATCCCCATTGATCAAGTTTACTGGTTCCATAGTTGACCATGTTTGCTGAGAAGATTCCAAGAGTAGTTGCTAATTGGAACATCATGTTTAGGCCTCCTCTGAGATGGGTGGGTGCCATTTCTGATAGATACAGTGGTATTGCCTTCAAATACAAGAAGCAAGATTGTTGTTGACATACATTTGGAAAGCTTAGTAGAATCTCTGTATTAATTTAACTTGTATAATATCATCTGAATCCCCCGTATATCCCACCTAGAGGAGGTGGGGTCGGGGTATGATGTATGCAGACCTGACACTTACCTACACTTACCTCTAAGTGTAGATTTACTGATTACCTGATTACCAAAGCCAATGCCAACACCGAGCATTATTCGGCCTAAAAGAAGCATAGCAAAGTTAACCGCAGAGGCATTGAGTGCTGCACCTGCAAGAAAAGCGGTGCCACCGCAGACTATGCTGATTCGACGCCCATAGTTACGTGTGACCGGAGATGCAAACAGTGTTGCAACCAAACCAGCCAGATACAGAGATGATGTAAATGCTGCTAGGCCTTGGTCATTGAACTTGCAGTAGTTGCTTTCATGTGAATGCATCTTCTTCTCATATACCGAGGGGAAGAACTTCTTAAGGAATGCATCCATGGATGTTACCCCTCCTGGTTACAGAATTCACCATTAGCATATACCAATGAACACACCATATTTTACCATCTTGATGTTATGAACAAGAAAACACCCAATTGATTCTTGTTCAGACCATGATGATTGGATGAGATACTTGTGGAATTCAGCTTAAAGATCATATGATCAACAAGCTGGATCACAAATTCTGGAGTATAACTTGAAGAAAAACAGAAAAGAAGAGGTTTTTGATTGAATTGATGAGAGGAATTAGAAATACCAGAAATCCCAATATCATAGCCAAAGATGGAACCTCCAACAGCTGCAACAATGCAAGCAATTATGACATAAGTTGTTACTTTCCCTTCATACTGATCTGCTCTTTCTTTAGCCACTCCTGCTGCTGTAAAAGACCCCTTGCCATCTCCACATAAACCCCCTTTCACAGAGAGAAAGAAATGATATATATATATATATATATATATATATATGTGTGTGTATATAAATATATATGTGGAGAGAGAGAGAGAGGTGTTTTAAAGAGAGACTGAAGTTTTTAAATGCAATAATTGGAACTAGTTATGATCTTGTTGAATTTGAAGTCCTAAAAATAAACAAAAATTTGCTGAAACTGAGGTCATCTTTGTGGGCTACTTTTTTGTAAATTTGTTTGAGAACAAAAAGTCAGCCTTTCACTCCAAAATATATATTTGTTATTGATTGTTTGAGAAAAAAATAGGCTTTTTTTTATAAATTAAAAAGAGTAATCGTGTAATGCAGCGAAATATATTTTGATTTTAATATTTTATTTTATTTTTTATTTCAGTCGATGTTATAGTATGATATTATGTGATTTTGAAAAGGGCGTGATGTTTTTATTTTTGAATAAAATATAAATTTGAAAATGTCATAAAAAAATGACAAAAATATATCGATATTAGTATTAAATTAACTATTTAAAATTCCTATTTTTTGTGTTTATTCACAGTTAAAATAAGATGTTTATCCTCTATTTGATTATGTTTATCCACAGTTAGTTACACAAATTTAAACATGAAGCTTTAATAAGTTGTACTTATACATAATTTACTTATAATCTTGAATTGTAAGTAATATGCATCAATATACAGTACTTCATGCATAAAAAATAATTTTTAAGAGTTTTTGTCAAATGCTTTATAATATAGTATAGATTTGTTTGAGAAAAAAAAGTCAGTATTTTTTATATTTATTTCTTTTTCTACTTCTTTTTTCAAGTGCAGGATAACCCCAAGGATTGTAGGTCCGTTGAGCGCCTCATGACTATGTCATAATAAATCCGAACACTTGCCCGGTAAATAATGGTCGTAACTATAACAGTCATAAGGTAGCGAAATTCGACAAAATGTATGTCATATATATATATATATATGTGTGTGTGTGTGTGTGTGTGAGAGATTTGAACTCTTTTAAAATAATGTCGTAATATTATTTGAATTATTATTGATTGTTTTGAAAAAGGTTAGCTTTATATATATATAGGGGAACGTTCAAATAAAAACCACCTAATTTGTACAAACCGTACAAACTTCATTCAACTAATCATAATTTTTCATTTTGTTCATTTTTTTGTAATTATGAGAGATTGATTAATCATTTTTATTGTGGATGATGTTAATCATGGATATTATCATCTTCATTATTTTAATTTTAGAGAAATACATGAAACAGTTTCATTAATTTTAGAGAAATACATGAAACAGTTTCATTAAGTAGTATATGAAACAATTTCATAACCATATATGAAACAACTTCATCAAAAAAAGTATTATATGAAACAATTTCACAAGATTAAACAATTTCATGAAAAAAATTCATAAGATTAAACAATGAAATCGACGAATGAGAGTAGTTTTTACGGTTTTTACAAATTGGAGTGGTTTTCATTTGATCGCTCCTATATATATATATATATATATATATATATTAGATAGAAAGGTATTCGTACAATACAGTGAGATACATATCGATGTTGATGTTTTTTATTCTTATCTCTATCGATGTCAGAATATGATTTTATATGGTTTTAAGAAAGCGATAATGTTTTCATTTTTGAATAAAATATAAATTTGAAGATGTCATAAAATTTTGAAAATATAACATAATATAATTTTTGGTTTAATAATATAATTTTTTACAAAGATAATAACTAAGTATTCTGTTAGTATCAATGATTATTCTAATTATATTTTAGATTTTTTTAATAATTAAACTGAGATGTTTATCATGTATTTAATTATGTTTATCTACAGTTAGTTACACGAATTCAAACACAAAGCTTTAATGAGTTATAGTTATGCACAATCTACTTGTAATATTGAATTTTAAGTAATATGCATTAATGAACAATACTTTATACATAAAAAATAATTTTTTTTAAAGTTTTTGTCAAATACTTTATAATATACATATGTGTATATATATATGTATATATATTTTTTTCAAAACAAAAATATCTATATTTTGTTCTAAGTATATGTTTTAAACTGTTTACAAATAGATATTTTAAAACATTATTTAAATAACTATCGATTGTTTTGAAACGATTAGCTTTTCAAAGTATACATATATAAACTAATCTATATTATATTATAAAGTATTTGATAAAAAACTCTTAAAAAATATTTTTTATGCATGAAATAATATTTATTGATGCATATTACTATTACAAGTAATTTTACGTAAGTACAACTTATTAAAGCTTCATTTCTAAATCCATGTAACTAACTGCAGATAAACATAATCAAATCTAAAATAAACATCCATTTTAAATATAGAAAATCTAAAATATAATTAAAATAATTATTGAGTTTTAACAGAATATTTAATTATTATCTTTATAAAAAATTGTATTATTAAACCAAAAATAAATTATTTTGTTATTAAATCTAAATTAAATTATAATATAAAATTGAATTAAAGAAATTATACCAAAAAAAAAAAACGAGAATTATTAAATAGTTAATCCGATACTAATATAGATTTATTTTTTTCAAACTTTTATACTATCTTCAAATTTATATTTATTAAAAAATAAAAACGTTATCACTTTCTCAAAACCACATAAAATCGTATTATATCGATAGAAACAAATAATAAAAACTAAACATTAAAATAAAGATTTATCTTGTTGCATTACACAAGTACCCTTCTAGTTAAAAAAATACATTCACTTGAATCAATATTTGCTGCACATTATATTACATTTTTTTAATTCAGGAGATTATTGGTAGCGTCAAGAAAATGAAGTTTACTAAGAGATAACATATTCCATTTAATGTGTGGTAACTACATATTAAGGGCATCTACAATGAAGATTTCTGTTGAGATTTCTTTTGAGGTTTTAAAAGAACTTCCACTGTGGGATAGATGTTCTTGTCCAGTCACATGTTTTTATTAGAACCCATGTGTTTGAACAAGAACTCCGGTTCTCGTATATACTCAATTTCTGTTATTATTTTTTTAATCATTCTATTTTCTTTAATAAATCTATAAAATATATAAGTTGAAATTGATACAAAAAAATATAAATTAATGACTATAAAATATTGTTTTTGTTTTTCGTTTCTTGTAAATTTTTATACAAGTTTTTGTATTAATAAGTTGATTTTTAATTATCTCGTTATATTATTATATAATTTTATTGAAGAGGTAGATAATTCGACACTAATATTTCAAGGTTCTACCCATGAATTTCAAAAATATCTTCACCAAGTTCTGAGATGAACTCAAATGAAGTTCATCATCAACTCCGCTCCGACTTGATTGAACATATTTGGCTGAACTAAGATTATGATTGATCTATATTACTATTTATTATTTAATGTTACTTTTTATAAAGATTAATATTTGTGTAATTTTTATACTTTTTTAATTGTAATATAAATTATGTTTATGTTTTTTAATTATTTTTCAAACATTAATAAAATATATAAATTAACAAATTAAAACAAAGTGTTAGTATTATTTAGCTACTATGTTCACAGAAGCAATAACTGTAAATGCGTCAGAGCAATTAGGCAATATTCAAGTGCCTAAAAAGGCAAGTTAAAAAGTTTTGTTCAGCGTTTGAGTTTGGTAAATAATACAGTTGTTATATGAGAAAATCTTCAATATATTCTTTTAAACAGAGAAAATAAAATTTGTGTTCTTTATTTTGTTTTAATAAAATTTTTATATTGTCTCTAACACAGAGAAAACAAAGAGAATTTAAGATTAAAGAAATCTTTAAAATTCTTATGTAGATAATTTTTTTTTAATCCTTTTCTACCAATAAAATTGTAGTATTATTATTTTATATAAAGTTTTTTTTTTTTTTTTAATTTTGGGATGCTAAAAATTATATAATGTCTTTTTATAATATAATTTTTATACTAAAATATTTGAAATAAAGAATTTGTTGGCGTAATTTTTTATTATAAATTTTAACTTTTTTATTTTTTTTATTTAAAAAGTTATAAAAAATTAGTTGGTATGACAACACCTTTGAACAAGGTGCGATAAATTATTTATTTTTCTTACATATAATATAATTAAATCAGACCTTTATTTATTACGATAATTGTAAGAAATTTTTATTTTAAAATATTGTTTCGTATGATTTTTTTTCTGATACTAATATTTAGGTTATATTTGGCAAACTAGCTAGTAGTTTAAGTTGGTTAATGATCGATAAATTAGCTGAGATAAGCTAGCTGATGAATAAATCATGTTTGACAAAACAAACTGATAAGAATGTAACATAATCAAAAGGGTCATCTTGAAAAATTAATCAATTATAATATTTTAAAATATAATTGAAATAATTTTTAATAATATAATATATTAACTAATATAAACAAGATGATAACAAAATTAAAAATATAATATGTTGATTAAAAAATCTTAAAT